ATTTCTTTTAAAAATATTCATTTATGCATACAAGAACTGGAACACAGGCCAGAGGTGTGGGGGACTGAGAGGATTCACCAGAGATAGAGTGGAAAACAGAACAGGTGTATCTATTGAAATACACTGCTGAGGGGAACAGTAGGTGAGACAGGAGAGGTTGCTGTGCCATGTGGGCAGCTGCTGGCTGGGATCAAACTTGTGCTGCAGTGGCTTCACAGTGCTGCAGTTTAACCCCTTGTACTACCAGGGAGGCCTCAGGATTAGTATTTTTAAATTTTTTTTAAAAGCTAGAGTTGATTTTAATGATTTGAAAACCATTGGAACATCAATAAATGTAGACATATGTCTACATCTCCTAGTTTATGACATTGTTAGATTTTTCATATTTAAGTAAAGTGATATGGGTAATTATGGGTGTTTTAAAATTTTATTATAATAGTTTTTTTAATAATATAGTTTATTTTTACATTATAAAATAATCCATCTCAGTTGTAATCCCCATGGACTTCCCTTCACCAGTTCACCAGTGCACCATCACCACAGTCCTATGCACTCCCCTCACCCCCTATTTTTGATCCCATTTTCCACTCCACCCCCGTAAAATGTCTCTGGTATATAGTTGTTCATTATTATTTTTTCCCTCCTGGTCCTTTATGCTCCTGCTATGAGTGAAACCATCTGGTATTTTTCTTTTTTTTTTTTTTCTGATTTATTTCACTAAGTATGATCTATGTTTTTTTTTTTTTTTTAAAGCAGGTGCATTGTCTCTTCTGTAGCTTATTCAACATGCATTACAAAGCAGAAATGAGTTGGTTTTTATCTGTAATTTTTTTTTTGTTTTTGGCAGATGAAGTATTGTATATGTCAAAAAAGAATCTGAATTTTCATTATGTTAAAGATGAGAGGAACTCTCAGGCATCTAGTAGAAAAGGACACACAGTAAGTCAGGGCTGGCTTGCTGTGACTGCCTCGCTAACTAGCTGTGTGAGCTTATTATACTGACTTAACCAGGATGAGCCTCAACTTCCTCTTCTGAAATTGAGATGAGCACGTACTATATACTGTGATCACGGTTTCACGCCATGCTCATGTATGCACAGACACACACACTCACACTCGCAGCTTGACTCTGCCTCCTGCCTGATCCCCACACCATCTGGTGGATATCCAGAGCAGGGGCTGTGTGGGAGCCTCCTGCAGGGCCAGCTGCTGGGAACTGCTCCCTCCCGTTCCTCAGGGATCATTCTCTGGCTCTGCTGGGACTGTTTCATGGCTGGCTCTTCAGATCCCATGACCTTTCCTGAGCATAACATTTAGTGCACTACCTCCCGCCAAGTAGCCAAGCTCCTAGTGAGACTGGAGGTGAAGGTGGCTTCTTGTCACATGATGGAAGTTTTGGGGTGTTTTCTATTTGAGCCCAGATAGTGTAGTGTATTTGTGGGGCACAAATGGCTGCTTTCACTTCCAGCTGCCTTTCTAGCCACTGCTTCTTTGTGTTGAGGGGAGGAGGATGGCAATAAGACTCCACTCCTGTGACTTCATTTGGGAGAAGCAGAGAAAAATTAAAGACGTTTGACTTTTTTTTTTTTTTTTTTCCCATGAGAGAAACTTGGGTTCTGTCTCCTTTCACATCCTAGTGGGTCCTGTCCTATAGTATATGGCTCTAAAATTATTAGGCCACCCAGCTCTCCTGCTGCCTTGGGAAGGAAGTTCATGGACTATCTCATATCTCATATTACAAACTCTCGGGTTGTAATTCTAGCTGTGTTCTTCTATGTCCTTTCAAACTGCAGGCCTGACTTAAGGTCTGTCCTCATTTTCAGTTGTGAGACTTCTCCTTTGTTACCATCTCCCTGGACTGAAATGAAGGGCTCATTGGCAGTGTTTACAAATTCAGCTGCCTTGTCCCTACGGTCCCCCTGTGTATTGGACTTGGCATTGTCTTTGCATTTTTAGCAGCAGCATGGTAGCTCTGTTGATGTTTTAGGAGAATTGTGAACTTGTGTGGTGATCAGGTGTTCCTCCACTAGATCACACACCTTGTGACGATGGGAACCATGTTTTCCAGCAGACTGTAGTTATAATTTTTTTAAAAAGCTTTATTTTTATTTTTATTTATTTTTATTTATGCATACAGCACTGGGGTGCAGGCCAGAGAGGTGCAGGGCGGTGAGAGGATTCACCATAGATGGTGGGAGAGCAGCATAGGCAGATTGACAAAGTACACTGCTGAGGGGAGCAGTGGGTGAGACAGGAGAGGTCTGCTGCGCCATTTGTGGGTCACAGGGCCAGGGATTGAACTTGCACTGAAGCGGCTGTGGCTTGCTTGCAGTGGTGTGCTTGAACCCATTGTTCCAGCAGGGAGGGACTCGTAACATTACCGATTACGCACCTACTATGCACTATTGTCTTTGCTTTAATTATGTCAGTCATTTCATAAATATATTGCACACATAGGAATCTTCTTTCAGAGAGTTTAAATAAATTGCCCAGGGCCATCTAGTGAAACACAGAGCTGGATTTGGAACTGAGTTTGACTTTACATCTTCTCTCCTAAATCATTTTTCTAACCTCTCAGAGCCAAGGACAGACACACATAAGAACTGGTGTCTTGACGTATGGAAGTTTGGGTGGAACTGTGGGATAGGGTACAGTTTGGAGTTACAACTTGTAACTCCAAAGGAGGTCAGGACCTTGTGTCTTCAAAGTCCTTTCCTTTCTCACTGACTGACACTGACTTCACGTGTCCACGTTAGTGGACACCTGGCAGAGGACCCTGAAATCCCTATGGCAGGCACCACCCCAGGGAAGGCTTTGCCTCCAGGACATCCTCATTTCATTCTTTTATTCAGGTCAGGGAGACTTTGAGATGATCTAATGAAGCCCCTTGCAGATAAAGACATGGGTTGAGCAGTCACATATGTCCTGAAGAAGATTGGAGTGAATTCAGGCTGAGGAGCAGGTAGATGGTGACATCAGCCCCCACTGTCAGTTACAGAGCTGCTGTCAGCCTTGGTCTCTGTAGGGGAGGCACCAGAGGGTGCCTGCTCATTTTGGGTGGGAGCATTAGGAAGTATATTTGTTTTATCAAGTTGAAACTTTGTTGAATGTGTCCAGAGAATATTTTCCCTTTCATGTATTTAGAAATCATAAATTTATCTCCTGCTGGGGGAGTAAAAGTAAATTGCTTCACAAAGAAAACAGCTCTTTAAAAGGCTTGACATCTTTCACAAACATGTGCTTTTTAATGACTGGGAAATTCCTAGTAGAGGGAAAAAACTGTCCTTTTGTACAAATGAGGTCATTCTGGCTCTGAGTATGCTGGTGCCTGCGTGCTGCTCCTTGTTTTGTGACCAGAGGTTATTGGCAGGATAATCCCACTGTGGATATTCACTGCTTTTAGGGCATGTTGCCAAAGAGAAAGTTATCTTAGCTGAGAAACTGCCAAGCCAATGCAAGAGGTCCATTCCTCATGGGGCCTGATCTGGTGACTGATAATGGCTGAGTTTAGGTTGGCTGTGGTTGAGTTTTTGAAGTAGGGTGTCCCACAGCACCCCAACTGCTGTATCTACTTTGCCTTCGTTTGTTTCTCAACAGCTCCATTGCTTCTTCATTAAGGAATGATTTTTCTCCCCAGCCTTCATTCTGCATTCTCTGCTTTGATTCTCTCCTATGAACAGAAGCATCTGTGCCACTTTGAGGCTTCACATTCATCTTTTCAACCTGGTGTAGTGGAAAGCAACTGTTAAGAGAACTTGCTATGTTTTCTCCCTTTGAACAGTTGGAGTCTGATTCCTCCTAAAATTAATTTTCGAATAGATTAGCTATACAAAAGACTATCTCTGAGGTCTTAGATTTGCTCAGTGAAAGGGTTCTCCTATAGGTATTAGTGGATGCTCAGAGAAGCTCATTTTCCTGTATCTTTACAGCAATCACTTCCATGGAAACTTGGGAGAGAGCTAAGCATGGAGATGGTTACCTCGATCCTGGAAGTTTTCACAAAGAGGTTAACTTGGACGCAGTTCAGGAGCTCTGAGGATGACCTCTGAAAGCCTTTAAGTGATACATTTTAACAGTCATGTTGAGGAGTTAGGGATGGGAAGTAAAGTGAGTTCTTGCGTGTTATAGGTACCTGCACTTCAGCAGATTGCGTTTTTAGACTTGTCTGGTTCATCAGTCCAACCTATGCTGCCTCACATCTTGAAGAGTCTATGCTGGAGTCATTAAATTTCCTCAATTCATCCATATCTATAATGCATCAATATCTTGATAAATTTGTGTAGCTTTTGACCAACTATAGGTTTTTATTATTTAAAAATTCATTTTCCTGATGCTGAGAATTTGGTGGTGAACATAATTTAGTTAAGAAAATCTATGCATCCTGGCATTGTTTGCATCGATTTCATTGCTCCTTAGATCTGAAACTTCCAGTTTCAGGCTCTTTTGCCTAAATATGTGTAAGAATAATTTATTAAGGCACTATTTTTGGCCAACATGAATAGAAATGGTTATAAAATCTGGTTATGTGCTACTTAGGTATTTGCTGTAGACTCCATTTCTTGTCCAAAGTACTTATTCCACTTCGTAAAATCTCAGAGACACTTGCTAGAAATCTCTCAGGCTTCGGGGGAAGTGAGGCTTGACGAGGGGGACACGTCCATGTTCATTCAGTGCTTCCCCCTGCCCCTGCCCCAAAACCCTAGGTTTATCAGCCACAGCTCTGAATATTTTAGTGAACAAAATAGCTGGTACAAAAGAACTGGAAAAAATATGGCTAGGAAATGCTAGCATACTTGAAATTGGGAAATTCTGGGTAACTGCTGAGTGCCTCTTCTTAATTCCTGTGGGGAAGACATAATGCAAAAATACATGATGGATTGATATTGTAAAACAAAATGCCTATGAGTTAAACCAGAAGTTATATATCTGCCTGTGACGTTCTCAATGGGTTTAGCACTGACTTGCTGATGACATATTTTTTTATTATTATTATTCTATAGCCTCAGATGATACAGCAAACTCTCAAGAGGACATTGCAGTATTATGAACCCCAAGTTATTGGGTAAGTAAAAGTGGTTTTTGGTTATGACTGGGGGCAAATTAATGATAATTTCTCAAACATTGCTGTTGAGCATATGGGTTTCTGCAGCCAGGGCAGAAACCCTTCATATAGGTTCTGCTGTTGGTCTGACATATTTGGGCTGTTTTCCTTTGGATTATTTGTGTTTAATTCTTCTAAATGAAATTCCCTTTTGTCTTGCTTTTCTCTTTTCTCTTTTTTGTCTTCTTGCCCTCTTACTCTCATCTACTGCAACTCATAGTTTTGCCTTAGTAATATGCTGAGACTTATTGGTTTTAACCAAGAGACTTTATATGGGATTTTAGAACACCTCAGGGAAGTTAACTCAGAATTATGGTAAGTTTGACAGGTGAACTAGCTATTTCTTTGTCTAGCACCACATGTGACATACTTCCCTTTATTATCTCCCTTTTCTTGATGGTTGTGATGAGGGATATAAAGTGAGTTAACTTGGGGTCAATCAAATTTAAGACTTTAGCAGCATGGAACACATAATAACTTTTCTCTTTTGTAATGGCTGCTGGTGATATTAATAAGATAATTAAAGATTGGGTTTATATGTGACAATTTCAATAAACGTATTTTGTAAACAGAAAGCTACAGCTGAATGTGGGTATGTACCTTGATTGGCTCTGGCAGAAACAGTTGGCCAATACAGAAATTGAAATTTCCTCTTTGCTGCATTGTAAATATTTAAATGAAATCCAAGAGGCAATGAGTATTTTTAATCTAGTTTATGGCTGTTTTCCATGTGCTTTAATGATCTATTTCTATAATATTTTAAGAACTTTTGTACCTCTTGAAATGATGTTGGAATCATTTAACATTTGTGGATGATAATCGTTGATTTGGGGATCAGAAATGTGTGTTGTTCCCCCCCCACAGTACAGAAGAGAGGAAAATCTAGTGGAAAAAATTCAATACCTAGTACAATGCCATATACTTTTAAGTGCTTGATGATTATGTTAATTGTCATTTCAAATGGAATGGCTTTGAAACTTTGTCATATCACTCCTCAAGAGTGCAGTACTGGCCCTCCCTGGTGGTGCAGCAGGTTAAAGCACTGCACTAAGAAGCTTAAGCCACTTCCGCATGAGTTCGATCCCCACCTCCCCTGGAGGAGATCCACATGGCGCGGCAGACCTCTCCTGATCTGCCCGCTGCTCCCCTCAGCAGTGTACTTCGTCGATCTGCCTGTTCTGCTCCCCCCTCTGTCCTTGGTGAATTCTCTTACCCTCCACATCTCTGGTCTGTACCCCAGTTCTGTATGAATAAATAAATAAATCTTAAAAAAAAAAAGTACAGTACTGAAAAAACATATTATTTAAACTCATGAGATGGTTTTTAGTTTGAGGACATTAGTGAGTTTAAGTGGTTTATCCTAATGGAGATGAAGAATGTCAAATTAATCCCTCTCCACATATTTTAAAATAGAACTTAATCAGTCACATTGTGTTTGCTTTAAAGTGTGATGTTTGGATTAAGTCAGTCATTATACTTAGAATAGTTCCTGGCATGTGATGCCCACAGCATACTTCTTTACTCTAAGGTTTATTGTTATCATCATTCTTAATGATCATCTCAGTAATCAAATACAGAGAATATCTTTGAATTATGAATGCTTTCACAGTTTTGAAAACAAATAATCGATGAACTGATTGCATTTATGAATGAAACTGTTCCTGCAGAACAAATTGGAGTAGGAATCTTATAAATGTGCTCTAAATAGATAACTAAATTTTATTGCATAGTCAGCAGAAAATTCTTTTCTCCACAAGTACAATGGAGGTCTCTTTTACCTAAAACCTGCCTGAACTCTCCTCTTCTCTCTATCTATATGGTCTTTGTTCACTGTTACATGATCATTTCCTAGTTCTGTTTATTGCAGGCATAAGATTAAAAAAAAATCAGACAGTCTTCCCTGGTGGTGCAACGGGTTAGGATGCAGCATTGCAAGCTCGCTGTAGCCACTTCAGTGCAAGTTCGATCCCTGCCTTGGAGGTGATCCACATGGCACAGCAGACCTCTTCTGGCTCACCCACTGCTCCCCTCAGCAGTGTACTTCATTGATCTGCCTGTTCTGCTCCCCACTCTGTCTCTGGTGAATCCTTTCACGGCTCCTGTACCTCTGGCTTGTACTCCAATTCTGTATGCACAAATAAGTAAATAAATGTTAACAAAAAAAAAAAAAGCAGACAGGGAATAGGTTTCCAAAATCGAGATGTCTTAATGTCTGGGTCTAAGTAGACCTGATAGTGTCATTTTGCTCAGGTGTTGGGGCTGACTTCTGAAGACTCAAAATACTTTTGTCACTGTCTTTATCCTCATCCTGACAAGGTTAAAGGGGTCATGTTGGCAGCAAACATGTGAGTTTGTCTTGTCTGTCCTTCTGTTGTGGTTTTTCTGTCCAACTCCCTCTTTCTGCTTTTATTTCTTTTTTTTCAGTACTGAAAAAGGAGTGCATCTGTTATCACTAACACATGATTTAAGATGTGTTCACACCTATGTGTTATGCCTCTTAAGAGCACACAATTTAAGACATTTTATCTCTAACTGTGAAGAGGAATGTGTTTCTTATAGTTAATGAGGTTTCACACGATTGAGAATACTTGCTACCAAGGATTACTTTACATATTCCTGGGGAGGTGGGGGGGGGAGATGCTTTTCCACATTTCTGAAATTAACTTTGCCCAAGGCTGGTCTTGAGGTAGTTTTAACTTTTAGTTGTCTTAGGGTGGGCTGATGAGTCAGGTTGCATAATGGAGAGTATGCACTAACTCCTCTCTTCATTTCCCATTTCAGCTTCTACCCACTGATCTTCTCATTCTCCCTTCTTTAAAAGTCTTCCTTAGAACTGCTTTATTTGATTTCCAGAGTTATGTAGTTATGCCCCCTGATGAATTCTATGGGCAGTGGCCCACAGGCATTCTGAGGTTGTTTCGTTTTGAAGACCTGGATCAGAAAGCAGTGTGTGAGGGTCACCCATGTGGAGGATTGGGACTGAGCAGCTGATGGAGCCTCTTGCCTCAGCTGTGAGATGGCCTCTATGTCTCAGCAATGTCATCTTTAAACATTTATTCTGCTCCTTAATGCTTCCATCCACTTGTTCACTTATTTATTCATAGAGATCATTCAGGTTAGGGAAATGAATGCTGCAATAATTTATTCATGTCCTGTGATAAATCTCCATGTTCTCCCCACAGCTGGCTGGCCATCTTCTCACACCTAGCCATACCAGTACTGTTCTCTGCTTTCTGCTCCTGACCCTCAACATTGTATCTTTACCACAGCAAAGTGATTAAGACATTCAATCATGCCACTTTTCTCACTTTAAACCAAGAGTCCTCAAAAATTTTATGGGCGGGCATCAGAATTAAATTTAATGTGCATCAGAGCCACCTTTTAAACAGATAATGGGATCAACTCCCCAGGTTTCTGACCAGGTATGTACAGGTGGAGCTCAAAAATGGCAATTTATAGCATGTTCTCACATAACGTGATGTGGTTGGCCCAGGGACTGCATGTTGAAATCCCTGCTTGAAACAACAACAAAAATAACTTACTATGATAAAATCTGAGCTCTTCCTGTGACCTGGCCCCTGCATAGCCTTCTGATCTCACTTTCATCCATGCCCCCTTTAAACACCCTGCTGGCTGCTCAGATTCTGCCATGCCTTAGATTCTCAGCTGTACTTGTCTGGCTTAACCTCGGTGGAACAGACTGCTCCAGTTTCCAGGGGTCTTCTCTCCCCCGATGTTTTTGTATAGATTATGATTTTTATACACTTAGGTCTGTTTAAATGCCAGATCCACCTCTTACCTCAATTTCTAACTCCAGTCATTTTCTATCATTTTTCTTTCTTTTCTTTGATTGAACTTTATTTTCTTACATTGTTGTTGATTTTGTACAATATCTGATTTCTCCTCATGCTTGAAGTCCCCGTAAACCTCCCAATACCATATCACCTGTGAACCATCACCATAGTCCCTTGTATTCCTCCCTCCCCTGTTTTGACCCCTTCTCTCCCCTGGTTTATGCCTTAGACTTGTGGTTTGCTTGCAATTTTTGTCTCTTTCTCTCTTTTTAACCCTTTCTTCTGTTTCCCTGTAGTCCACCAATAAGTGAAACCATCCCCTATTTTTCTTTTTCCTTCTGGCCTTTTTTCACTAGTATAATCTCTTCTAGATTCATCCATGTTGCTGTGAATGGCATGAGTTTATATTTCTTGATTGCTGAGTAGTAGTCCATTGTGTATGTTATATTTCATCTCCATCCAGTCATCTGTTTTGGGGAATTTATGTTGTATATATATCTTGACTATTATAGTGTGCAATAGACATAAGAGTGCAGGTTTCCTTTCACATTAATGTTTTTGTGTCCTCAGAAGAGAGATTCTTAGGGCTAGAATTGCTGAATCATATGGTAGATCGATTTTTAGTGTATTGAGGAACCTCCACACAGCTTTCCATAGTGGTTGGACCAGTTTGCAGTTCTCACCAAATGTTCTATTATTTCTATTCATAATGTTCATCATTAACATTTATTACCTTTTAAATTTTCTTGTTTGGTTATTTTGTTAATGTCAATATTCCTGTGCCTTTATACATGCTTATTAGTTGGGAGGACTATTTTTGTGGGGGATGGGGGAGAGAGCCTGAATAAATTGATAAATAGCACCCTGCAGATATAAACACAGTTATGTATATCATGGTTTAAAGAGTAAATTTTGTTTGAAGGGTATAAAATGAGAAGTAAAAAAATCTCCAGTGTTCATTACATTTCTAAATCTAGAGTTCTACTATCCAGCACCATTTTCTTTAGAACATAAATTTTACTGACTTTTTTGGCCTAGGTTTCCATTTGTTCTTAATTCCTGCCACTGTGTGTCAGATTGGCTTCATGGTGAATTTTGATTACTGTATAAAGACTGCATGTACATGCTGACTTGGATGGTGCCTAATTCATATGGCACAGCTTCTTCCTTCTACTCTGTTTGAAAAAAGAGTCAAACAGAGTGTATATCTGTTTGACTTTCTTTAATTCAAACTCCAAGGAATGGACCAGATTTGGGGGCAGTATAGGGTAGAAAGAATAATGAGAAACAAAAGTGGAAAGTAGGAGTTACCATAGGAATTAAAAGGAACATAGGGTGGAGGAAAATCTGGTTTATGATAACTTTTTTTTTTTCTGATGTAATTGTTGTCATTATCTCTGAGTGTTGTGTGGCTCAGAGCAATGACTCAGAAAACACACTTTGGGCGTAGACATAACATATTAGTAGACTTTAGACATAACGTATTAGTAGACTTGAAGTCAGGGTCTGCTTTTCTATGTCCTAGGGCAGATGAGCTAACCTTTCTGAAGCTCAATTTTCTTATTTTTTAAGTGGAAATAATATCAGGGTTAGGGTAAAGTTTAAATGAAATATTGAGAATAATAGATGTTAAGTCAGTATTTATATAAAGTAATTGTACAGCAGCTGGTTCACAAAGGTAATCAGTTAGTTGAATTATTTGCTATTAATGCCTGACTCTTTTCTACTTTTGACAAATCAGTTTTACTCCTGAGCCTTTGAAAGTTTGGAATCAATTATTTCACATTGAATCCCTGCTCATGTTCTAGGTATAGCTTTCTTCCTGCAAAGTTCAGATTTTTCTAACCTAAATTTCTACCTCTGGAGTGTTTGTCTATGCAGCATGGCTGATGCTGCTCACTAAAATGGATTATGATGGCAGTGCAGATGAAACAGTGATTTATTTCAAACCAAGATTGGAAAACGCATAATAATCTGTTCTTGTGAGATGTAATGCTCATTCACTCTGCGTTTTCAACACTAAAGTATAAGGAGTTTTATACTTGGAATTAGCCATTCATTTTACATTTTTTTTTTATCCAGAATAAAGCAGCATTGTGCTATAACATGGATAGAACTACTGTCAGCCTCATGTGAGTCTGGGAGATCATTTCCTATAATCATCTAATTTAAATTGTTATTACTCCAATGATCAGTATGGGACCTATGTTTACTTTATACAGCCAACCTTCTGATCTCTTTTAATTTTGACAATTGGAAAAGGATTAAGTTAGAATAATTTCAGTAGAACATTAGAAGTGAAATTAGGAGTCAGTGAACCCTGATTATTCTGGGAAACCACCCTTGGTCAGACTTTGTAGCTATAAATTATTTTATTTAAAATGAGATCTATTTCTTTTTTATATATTTTCTTAGAACAGCTATCTATTTTACTGAATGAAAATAATTTAGATGAAAGCTAACATATATTAATTGCTCCCAATGCACTGGATACTTTATATCAGTTCCTATATATAATCTTGATGCCTGTTTCAAAGGGTCATTGCATTAAACTCCTTTTACAGAGAAAGGTATTGAAGCTGTGAGAGAAAGTATTTGTCAAAGTTCACTGATAAAATGGTAGATCTTCATTTAAAAATAACCCCACAGTTGTCTGTGTGAAGGGCTGTGCTCCCCATTCCACCTCTTCTTGAGTGATCTCTGCATCCCACAGGCTACATAGCACTCTTAGCTGCTTAGGTGCAGTCTGGCCTCAGTGAGCATACAAACATGGAACCATTTCATTTTTTCTCTCCCATCACCTCAGGCATGCTAGGACCAGTTCCTTCTGCTGCTTGCTGTGCAGATGACTGTTTTGCAGATTCCTTTGGTGAGGATGAAGTCTACCTCAGACTTATTCTCATATCCAGTCTCACTCTTAACACCCTCTCTGCCCGAATCCATGTTGGCAGAGAGCCTTGTAGGCAATGCAGAGAAGGTAGATGTAGCTTTTTCCAGGCTGTTGCTTTTGAGTCCTTTTCTCTTCTAATGTAATGTGTCAGGCAGGAAAGAAATAGAAATGCCCAAAGTCTTTTTAAATCCATGGGTGGTTGCAGCAGCTCTGTGCGGTCCATGATGCCTTCAGGTGCGGATACAGGCGATGCTTGGCAGCTTCAGATGTCACCTCTGGCCTGAACACGGCACTCTGTGTTCTTGCTGTGGGACTCTTGCTCCTGGCCAGCAGCCTCCATTTTGGGAAAGCAGCAGGATGGGACAAGTGAACTTGCCTCCCTTTAATCTCCCCAACCCAGAGGAAAAATCATATTTTTTTGCCTTGCCTAACAATGGGGCTGTCACCCCCAATTGGGATGCTTCCCAATTTGATTATTTCTTTTCCCTGTTAATCACTTTTCCACATCCTTCTTTTACTCAGTCAGGCACACAGCCTGGTGGGGAATTCATGGCCTCAGTAGAGACACCCTGAGGAAGAAGACACCCAGCCCCCACTGTCTGTCAGAAGTAGACCCTTCTTTTACTAACCAGGGCTCAGCAGGGAACAACCCTACTCACTTTTCTCACTGGGGAGGAGGGTACAAAAGACAGCAGCACTGTCTTCTGAGGTCAATTGCTCACTCTTCAGTATTTTCTTTTGAAATCTTTTTTCTGTTCCTTTGCTTCTGTAAGATGGCTGTGGGTGACAATGGCCAACTTGTCATTTCTTAAGTTCTAAAGGGGGGTGAGTGTCACCTTAGCTATTCCTGTGGTGCATGGGAGCATTTGACCTCCATCAGTTTCACCTTCCGTCCCTTAACTTGAAGTTAGAGGTCCCTGGCAATGTTCTAGCTAGCACCCTAATACACAGGCCTCACAGGGGCTTGAGGAGTCAGTTCCGTTTTCTGAGGGAGGAAAGTTAGATTAAAAGAGATTAAATTACATGTCCAAAGTCTCACAGATAGAAAATGTGAAGACCATGATTCAAATTCTGTCTGACTCCAAACAGTGTATTTGCTTATTATCCACACATATCCTGCTGTCATTGTGACTGTTCCCTGCTAGAGGCTGAGTGTGTTTATTATCAACACCAGCCAAACACCAGTGCATTGAATTAGCAGCTAATTTTTCTCTTTCTTTCTTTTATAGGCAGCTCCCTTAGGGAAACATTATTACTAGCAAGGATGAAGCATTAACTATACAAAGCTGATCTAGCTGATGTATTTTCTAGTTTTCCTCATTTTTTCACATATAATTTTCTTACTAATGATTCCTCCGTCTCAGGTCCACACTGCTGATGCTGATGTGAATGGTGGGTTATGCTAGAAATCGTGCCTTAAAACTTTGTTTATTTGTAAATGTCATAACACGGGCATAGATGGGTATGCTTGTGTATATGTGTATGATTGCATTTGCAGATGTGTTGAAAATTTCCCCATATGCTAATTTTGTTTTCTTCTTAGTTATAGGGATGCAGAAAAGAATTTCCACAATCTCTCTAACAGATGCTCCTATGCAGACCATGCCAACAAAGAGGAAATTGAAGACGTCTCAGGAATTCTCCAGTGTACTGCTAATGTACTCGGTATATATTAACTATATATTTACATGGTTGTGAGAGAATGAAAGGGGGGAAAGGGGAAGAGTAGAGGTGCAAATGTTTCATTTTCTGTTAGGAGAGGTTTGGAGTCTACGGCAAATTGAGACCAAGTTCTTGTGTTTACATGACTTCAACACTCCCCAAGAGGTCTGAGTAGAAATTGCATTCATGCTATTTATTAGAGATTGAAAAAACATTATAAAAACTACATTCCAGGGAAACTTTCCTAAATATTCTTATGTTAGTAGTATTAGCCTCATATAATCCATATTTTCCTACCTCTTACCCTCAGCTGATATGGTGGGATCTTCCCGTCTTTCCATATCCCATAGTGTATGATTTCTGGTGTTTCTGGTAGGCCCTGGCTGGGCTGTCTGTAGTGCACATGTACTTATAGTGGACTCTGAAACTCAGGGGAAGTGAGGCAGGTCATCTCCTGACGTCTCCACTACCTTCTTGGAGTGGGTTAGGTATCCACTTTGAAAATACAAGAGGGGCTGTTGTTGGGTGCTCCATAAATTGCTAAGGGGTACAGTGATACTGAATCATGTGACCTACAGGTATCGTATGTGACTTGTCTTACTATCTGACATTCTTGGTGTGCAAAAGCTACATTATATTAAGTGCAAAGAGATGCCACAGTGGGAATGTTCTTTGCTCTAATGTCTTATTTAGATATTAGGAGGTTTTAATGAAAAATACACTTTTTGTGTTTTGTTTTTTTTCCCCCTTGGTCTCTTCCTTTTTCATTATGACTCAGACAGGAATTCAGAGAGTGCTGGGGGACAAGGGAGGAGCAAGTCTTTGTGAGCATCTTCATATATAGCATCCTCAGAGTCAAAAGATACATCCCAGGCAAAATGACCTGCTGGGTTTTCTGTCCCTTTAGGATAGCCACTTGCCCAGGGTATAGCTGAGTCCCTTCTACAGATTCCAGGTGACCTCAACCCATGAGTCTACCAGATATCTCAAACAAACATATCTGACTCCTGGAGTACAGTGGCTTTTACATACCAATTGGGACTCTAGCTAACCATTCCCAACATTTTCACTCTAGGTAACTTCTGTAAATGTGGGGTATTATACAAAGAACAAAGGCAGTGTGTTTGGGAGGGGGCAGATTAGTGGAGAATATGGGGCATGAGAACACAGGGCTTTGGTGGTGGGGCACTGCCCAGGAATGGCTGGCAGTTTTCGAGGACTCTCCATTCAGAAACATGTATTTCCTTTGGGCATTGTGCTTTTCAAGGGGTTGAAAGAGATGATCCCACCTCTTAGTCAGATGTATTGGAATCTTGTTGGGTGGGGAGGAGATTTGATATTTATCAAGGTTTGACATTTAGAATAGTTGTTCTTTCTGTATTTAGTTTCTAAATGTTTTACTTGGCCCTCATGTCTCCTTTCCTTATCTCTGGACATTCACTCCGAGGAAGTATAGGGGTGTTCAGATTATGAATTTGAGAAATGCTGCAGGCATCTGAACTGTCACTGCAAATACACATCATTCCCAAAACAAACTTCTAGGTTGGGCAGTTTGAAGTGGTAACTGTGAGGTGATGCTGTTGGCTCAGCACAGCTTAGTTGTGCTTCAGAAGTAGCCATGAGATGCTGACTGAAGTAGTGATTGAAAGACTAGTGAGCAGTACTACCTGATATTATTTGGGAAAGAGTGTTTTAAATTGAGTGTGTGTAACTGAGAAGGTGACTGTTCGACAGGGTTTGGAATTCCATCAATATGCAGTTGTTCTAGAAAAGAAATATTAGGTCTGGTTTTTCCCCTGTATATTTTCTTAAAATATAATAAGCATAGTATAGCAAAATTTAAATTTCTGAAGGTTAAAAAAATAAATACCTGCTCTTTGGTGAGTAGATGCTGCCATAGCTTCATAGCAGGTGATTATGTGTCACAATTAGCTGTTCTCTTTTGAATAATGTCCTCTCAGTTTTTTTGAAATGCAGGCTTTCTAAAGACAAAGATAGTTTCTGATCATAGTCAATGAAAGCTTTAAAGAAAATTACTTATATTTAGTTAATGTTGCTTCCCACACTGTGTTAGGGGTATAGGATCACACCTCTTGAGATGTATGTATCCCACCATCCCTACCACTTAAAGCAGCCACAGTCCACCATTATCAATTGGGCCTCTTCATCCCTATGCTCAGACTAGTGCCCACCTCCCTAACTAACCTCAATTCACAGTCATATTTCAAGGGTTGGTTCTATTTTATTTTTGTCTATTCCTCTGTTTTGGTTCTTTTTATTCCACATGTGTGAAATCATCTGGTACTTACCTTTCTTCTGACTTATTTTGCTTGGAATAATACCAGTTACATGTTGTGATTGGCAGGTTTTTTTTATAGTTGAATAGCATTTCATTGCATATATATGTCACATCTTCTTAACTCATTCATCTGTTGTTGGGTGCTTAGGCTGTTTCCATAGTTGGCTACTGTAAATAGTGCTGCAATGAACATAGGAGTGCAGCTAACCCTTTAAATTTTTGCATTCTTCAGGAGTGGAATTGCTGGGTCATATGGAAGGTATATCTTTAATGTTCTGAGACACCTTCATATTGTTTCCAGTCTAGTGACTGGACCAGTCTACATCCCCACCAGGAGTTCGTAAGGACTCTTTTTAATTTTGCTTCTAGTATTTTTGATAGGGGCCATTCTCACAGGTGTGAAGTAGTATCTCACTGTGGTATCAATTTGTATTTCCATGATTAGAAGTGATGATGAACATTTTTTTCATGTGCCTGTTGCCTATCTGTATGTCTCTTTGGAGGAGTGTCTATTTAGCTCTTCAGTTCTTTTTTGATTGAGTTCTTTCCTTGTTCTTAAGTGAGTGAGTATTTTGTAAGTCTTGGATGTTAACCTCTTGTCAGATGTATGATGTGCATATTTTTTCTCCCGCTCAGTTGGAATTTTATTAGTAGTTTATTTTGCTTTTTAGCTTGATGGAAGCTCATTTGTTTGTTTTTCCTTTTTTGAAGTTGAGTCTGTAGACATTACTGAAGCCAGTCTCATGGAATGTTTGCCTATTTTCTTCTATGTACTTTATGGTGAAAGATTTATTTTTAACTTGTAACACTGAACTATGACTAATCTTGATGTTTAATTTCATCTTTTTTTTTTCAAATTCCATTTTAATTCTCCTGTGTAATCATTTGTAAGGATGCAAGAACCTATCGACTCATTGGACATAAAAATATACAAGAAAGGAACTCCCTGACTCCTTTTAAGGGGGTACTATTGGTCTGAAGAAATAAAGTATCAGCTAGGTTAAGAGGATCCTTCTCAGTGGATGCCAGAATGCCAGAAGACAGTTTACTAATTCTGTGATTTATATTTTTGGTCTTTATCACCATTGAAAAATGTGGTTAGAATATGGTGGATTGCGTTGGGGAATACATAATTCTCTTACTTTTTTTTTTATTGGAACATCAGATTTAGGTAGTAGCTATTTATTTCTTTTTAAAACTTTAATATTTTAACTATATTATCCTTCATTTTTATACAATGTTTGGTTTCCCTGTGAAATTCCACCACCAGTTCCCCCATGCGCCATCACTGTAGTCTCTTGTGCTCTTCCCACCCCTGTCCTGTCCTTCTACCTCCTCCCCTTCACAGAATGTTTCTGATCTTTAGTTGCCTGATGATTTTGATTTTTACTTTATTATAGTTGCTTTTTTTAAATTCCCTTTTTGTTTTCTCTACATTCCCCCTATAAGTGAGGCCATTCAATATTTTTGTTTTTCTTTCTAGCTTGTTTTGCTGGGCATAATCCCTTCCAGTTCCATCCATGTTGCTGCAAAGGACATGCCTTTATCCTTTTTGGTTGCTGAGTAATCTATTGTGTAACTATACCACATCTTAATCCAGTTATCTATTTTTGGGCATCTAGTTTACTTCTATAGCTTACCTATTGTAAATTGTGCTGCAATAAACATAGGGGTGCAGTGGTCCTTTTGAATTAGTGTTTTTGTGTCCTTTGGGTAGATTCTTAGATTGGAACTGCTGGATCATATGGAAGCTCCATTTTTAGAAGTGTGAGGAATCTCCACACAGCTCTCTATTGTGGTTGGACAAGTTTGCATTCCCTTAAGGTAGAGACTGGAAATGTATTTTTACATTTATTTGTATGTTATTTACACAATATATATCATCAAAAAATACTGTAAGTTATTGGTAAGATAATGTGATCAGAGTTAGCACATTTTTTCTCCTTTTAAAAGTAACCATCTATCTCAACTTAATATAAACTTCTCTACATTGTTTGGCTATTTACTGACTCCTCAGCTTGAAGTTATTTTAGCAATTGTCATGGAATACAATGGGGGTATCAGAGAGAGTGAACACCTTTGCAGAAACCAGCTATACCCTATTGCATCTTTTTCTGTTACCTCTTTCTGAGCACCCTGGAAGCATAAGCTCCTTTCAGAGCAGTTTATGAACCTCTGGCCCTGGGAAGGAACTATTTCTATATATCAATATTTTTACCATTTTTCCTTTTGTTGGCTTAGAAGTTAATTATTGCTGTTTTCTGTCTCATTATTTACAAATCACATGTATGAAGGCCACACAGCTTCTTATCATCTGTCTACCTCATTTTGGTGACCTTGCTGTCAGTGTGGTGTTGCAGTGCACTGGTCAAACGAGAGCTTCAAATCTTGGGAAAAGGAAGATAGTTCTGAACAATTCTCTTCCTGCCTTTGACATGTGTCTTTTACATACCAGAGTGATCTCTAATTTTAGTTGTCAGGAAAATGTAAACCTTTTCTAGTCATAATTGGCAACAACGATTTTAAGCTTCAATTAAGTAGTACAGATGTATTTATACACTTAGGAGGTGCAATCTTGAGCACTTTCTTGGAAACTGTAAGTTTGAGAAGTATAATGAAGCATCTGTGATGAGATGAGGCATTAATGTATTCATATCACATTTATTGCTAAAGTATTGCTTCCTGAGACTGATCCTATATGTAT